TCCATTTTTATTCCCGCCGAGAGTCAGATGGCACAATTGAGGTTGAAGTGACTCTACAGACGTATTGTCTTGTTATATAAACATTAAAAATTGCAGGTTTCTAGTCTCTCATTAGGGGCCAAATAAACGACTCTTGTATGAGATTATATGAGCACGTAACTACGAGTGCTATTAGGCTCCTTTTTCTGTTTTGTTGCCGACCAAACTATTATATTTAACATGCATTTCTATTTTTTTTTCATAACCATTTTCAATAGTGGTGTACCGCGCGCCATTGTAATGGTAGCATTAGATGATTCACATAAATCTTTTGTGAAGTAACATATAGAACTATTTTTGGCAAACATTTACAAAAGTTATCTTATTTCTGCTTAATAATTGGAATCAGAGTGTGATTTTTTAAATGTCTATATTCTTTATTGTGTAACTAGGTGGCGTAGTGGATAAGCGCCGCGGCCCGCGATCGTTGTGGTTAAGCAACTTTCGCAAGGGTCGGTCACGGGATGGGTGACCAAAAATTATTATCTCGAGCTACTCTGTGCTTCGGAAAGCGCGTTAAGCCATTGGTCTCGGCTGCATTTACAGTCGTTAATACCCTCCAATCCGCATTGGACCAGCGTGGAGGGTCTGGGCCCATCCTCCTTAACCATCCATAAGGAAGGCCTGAGCCCCTTCAGTGGGGACGTAAAAAGAGCTGATGATGATGATGATGATTCTTTAATAACTAGCCAACCTAATTAAAAATAAATTAAATACGATAAAACTATTTGCGACTAGATAGACGAGTGACAAAACATGTCTGGCAATTAGATGAAAAGAGGACAGCATCATCATGACCAACCTATTAATGTCCCAATTATTGGGGCTCGAGCCTTCTCTATGGATGGAATCGACTCAAATCGAAAAGTGAAAATAAGCCATGACCCACCACCACACGAGCTCGGTGCGGATTGGTGTGTGTTAACGACTGCAGACGCAGCCGGACCAATGCCTTAACGTGCCTTCGGAAACACTCATTCTCACTCACTTCGGAAACAAACACTTCGGAGGAGCTCAAGATATTAAATTTTTTGTCACTTATCCCATGACCGGCATTGCAAAAGTTGCTTAACTGCAGCGCCATCGGGCTAAAGGAGGATAACTTTATGAAATAAAACATTATTTTTCACAATACAATTCCTTATAAAAAAAAAAATTAAGAAAAATCTGTGTTTCTCTCTAGAATATTTTAGAATAAAACTTATTACGAGTATCTATATTAAATGCTAAATTGATGAATTGTACTTTAATTACCTTTTAAATTTAAAGTAGGGGTTATTTGATTGAACCTCTAATGTCCTCTAGTAAGGAAAAACATGGTAATCAATCAATTTCTTTCTACTCTGCATGCAATCAATCAATAAATTAAATGTTGATATCGAAAGTTGTGAATCACAATATGTAACTTAATACTCCAAAAGACTTTACAAAATTTAAATTGTTGATATTGTCTCTTTACGTGTAAGGGCCACTAACGTGAAATTGGCGAAAACGTGTAAACGCAAATAGGCTATACATTAAAACTGCAAGTATGTAAAATCATCGACAAACGTCTATGATTTTTATGCTACTTAAGCAAGTGCTTAGTAAGGCATTACCTAACGTTACGAAAAATATGCTTAAGCTTTTCTAAATATTAAGTGATTTCTAGTTAAGCTATGCCTTATTCTAGGTTAGTGAAAATAGGCATTAGAGTCTTAGACACATTATTAAAAAATATATTTAAAAAATAAAGCCATGATTAGCGACAAATGAAAAACGAATAACGTTTACACGAGCCTTCATTCTACGGCGACACTTTTTGTTACAAAACATAATACGTATAAAACCCAGCAAAGCAGTGGCAAAAGCCGTTTTAATTAAAAATGAATCTGCTTGTAAGGGTCATCATTTTTCATGTTCCACTTAGTAAGGTTGCGAAGAACAATTAATATTTACGACCACAAAAACATGTCATTTTAAAATTTGATGGCGTCGTTGAGCACAAAATATTATCGCTACGAATTTAGAAAATGTGTTTTCATTTTCGTGTACACAGATTTTATTGTTGTTTTGTGCGCTCTACGTGAAACAAAAATTGATACTTATGGCATATTCTTCATGGATATTTCTCTTACAAATATTTTATCTTACTCAAGTAATTCGATTTTGAAAATACTTTCATAGTTATAGTCGGTTTCTTTTGATAATTTATCTTATTTATTTTTAAATTACTCCAAAAAAAGAGGTTGTCTGTTTGACTTGCTCGTAATTTAGTTGAATTATCACAATAGTCATATCATTATCATCGTCACGTCAGCTTCACGTCACCTACTACTGGTCAAAAGGCATAAGTCTCCACGACAATCGGCCCTTTTTTTGATAGCGCAAGGGAAATGCACCTTAAGCCTCAAGTCATAGCTCTCAAACCACCCCGCCCTAAAAAGGACAGGTTTTATATAGGCCAGACACACTGGACTCCCAATAAAAACCGCTGTGGTTCATTCCATGCAGATGGATTAGTCCGGTATCCTGCAAGGAGGGCCCACTCTCAATCCGCGCTGGGACTTCGCTTATGCGAGAGAGAATAGTCCCAGCACATTTGGTTAAAAAGGCATTTTTTTAGTTTAAATATACTATTACAATAGTCAAAAAATTGGGATAAGGTGTTTTTGGAAATGTATCTGAGAATTAAAAATTAGAAAGTCCTACATAATAACATTATGTACGGCGAAATGCTGTTATTGCCAAAGTATATATAGGCGCTCGAAAGCAAATACGTAATAACCTGCAAAACAAAAATGGATATTTAAAGTGGAAAATCTTTCTTTATTTAAAAAAAAGTATTCCCCAAGGAAGGAATCGAATAAGGAAAATAGGCCATGACCCACCACACGCGCACATCGCGTATTGGTAAGACGGGACAGATGGTTTAATGTGTCTTCCTAAGCAGGGCAGGCAGTAAGCTCGAAATATGGTCACCCATCCTATGACCGACCTTTGCAAAAGTTTGTTAACTTCCGCATCGCAGGCCGAACTGAGATCTATGCTTTAAATATTATTAATTCAAAAAACAAGTAACTAAGAAATACTGAAATACACATAGAAAAAATATTGAAGTAATTTGTAAACATCCGCAAAATGACGATGTGTCTACTTGCTTACCTATTACGTCAGATTACATAGTAAATAGAAACAATGATTATTTAGGCAGCGTCTAAACGAGTAACATTTTGCGAGTAACAAAGAGGACCTCCTCAATGGTTATTAGGCCTCAATCGACTTACTGACATTATATTCTTATTCAACATTAATCGTAGTTTCAAGAAATAAGTATCTTATTTTATTAATCAATCAATCATTTATTTGCCTGAAATATGGTGTACAAAGGTTACATTAAATTAAGGGTACCTATCACATATTTACTGTAAGAGAGTGTGCAATAATTTCCATAAGATTATATAAATACATATAATGAATTTACGTTGTCATTTAAAATGCATTTATTATTATTATTATTCTGTTAAGCACATCACTGGTTCAGATTTCTTTATATGAAATTTGTTAAAATATTTCTTGTTATATTTTAACTTCAGTTTAATAAATCGAATAGTAGCATTATAGAAAATATTAAATAATAATAATTTTATTATCAAAACTTATTCATATGTGTGGTGGCGTAGTGGATAAGCGCCTCGGCCCGCAATCGTTGTTGTTAAGCAACTTTCGCAATGGCCGGTTTTAGGATGGGTGACCAAAATATTATTATCTCGAGCTCCTCCGTGCTTCGGAAAGCACGTTAAGGGTTTCCCAGACTGCATATGCTGTCTTTAATGCCCATTGAGGCCGTGTGGTGGGTCATGGCCCATACTCTCTATTCTATTCCATCTATGTCCCAGCCCCAGCAGTGAGAACCTCAATAGCCTGGTGATGATGGTGATGAGATGTAAACACATTAATATTGAGATAGAGCATGGGTCCCAGAAAATTAAGTCATGGCATATCCGTAGATGTCTTGTTGAAAACCTTGACTGCCAGACGCTCCGTTTGTCGGGTACCTACATGTACTTAAGCTATTTCATATGGTGTATCGCATTGGGAATTGAGTCACGGATATTATGAAGCAGTGATTAGCATGTTCTGTCTGATATGCGATGTTAAGAAGTTTTTACAAGGGTCGGTCATAGGATGGATGACCAATAATTATATGTAGTTCCTCTGTGATTCGGAGGTCACGTTAAGTCGTGAGTCTCTCGTGTAGGGTTTTAATCTGTTCTCACTATTAAATTCCATATGTTTGTGTCTCGACAATAATGGGGACATTAGACTGAATTTAAAGGAAAAGTAACCATACATTGCCGTTACTCTTTTCATTTGTCATTGCCGCTTGTGCCTTTGACAGCACTTTATTCCTTGGGAGATGTTAAATGAAAAAAATTGTTTATATGTTAGTTCAGGGTTCGAATTGTTCGTGTGCCAAATTTAACAAAATCCGTTCAGTATTTTTGCGTTGCAAAGTAACAAATATCCGACTTTACAAACTTCCGCATTTATAATAGTAGTAGCTTTAAGATGGCGGTACTACATACTTACTACCAAGAAGTTTATATGTCGTTCCAAAAGTGCCATCCTGAACGTAGCCTTACAGTATTTGCTTTAAGGACCTTTTAATGTATGATTCTATAGAATTTACTTTAATAACCTAATTAGGTAATACTGTGACATTGAATGTTCATTATACGTTGATATGCTTGCGTCATTCGTTCATAATGTTATTAACCTATAATGAATTCCCATATTAGTTCCTTTGTTGTCTCGAATTTAGGTGTTATCTTTTATAGATTGATTACAGTAAAATAGAACAAACTAATAATTAATTTAAATCATACGTTTTGAAATGAAATCCAAGAGGAAAACCATCCTCATTGCTCCCAATATCTAAAGTAAGAATTAAAGAAAATAGTAATTTGAATATTTTTTTTAATAGCAACTAGTTTTCTCAATAATAACTAAAAATCTATCACAAAATATCACAAAACTGCTTTGATTTAATTAATTTGTAACGTAAGCAGATAAGTCGTCACTGATGAAATATTTTGTTGGGATATGATCGAAGAGATTGCTTATAAGATCCTTCACTCTGTCCATGGCGCGGTTCATCACTTGACCTCCAATTGTTTGCATGATGAGTCTCCAATTTTGATTTAACATACTGGTTATAGTAGCACCTATAAATAAAAAGGAGAAGAAACATAATTATTCCATTTTTGAACAGATTTGACAGAAGATACGTTATGGTTGCGGTACGTTACAAATGACAAATTATATGATATGACATTAGACCTTGCACACTCGATGGAACTTCCGTCGCGTCGTAACGCGTACATTCGTGAGACGTTTGATAGATTTACTGACAGATTTAAATTGATCCTCAGCCCCATACAAAATAATTAAAATTGTTGTTCCAGTCTATGTAACCATGACTAGTTTTTAATTATAAAAACAATTGTGGTTGAAAAAAAATTGCGTTCACAGTGATACATTGATAAACAGCTTTATAGAAAAATGCTTAAAATTTCACCACTCCCAAGTCCCTTCTTATTTTGGGGTATCTGGCGAATTTTTAAAGCATTCTTCTTTATAGATATCAAACAAAATTTTCATTACTAAAGATCGCAGGTTTTTCCTTATTAAAATGCTCTTAATCAATATGAGCTATACAATCGCTTCAATCGCTGAGTAGCTCGGTGGCGTAGTGGATAAGCGCCGCGGCCCGCGATCGTTGTCGTTAAGCAACTTTCGCATGGGTCGGTCACGGGATGGGTGACCAAAAAAATATTATCTCGACCTACTTCGTGCTTCGGAGTGTACGTTAAGCCGTTGGTCACGGCTGCATTTGCAGTCGTTAATACCCTCCAATCCGCATTGGGCCAGCGTCTCCACGCTCCACGACCCTCCGGTCATGGCCCATCCTCCTTAACCATCCATAAGGAATGCCTGAGCCCCTGCAGTGGGAACGTAAAAGGGCTGATGTTGATGATGATGAATCGCTTCAAAGACAAAGGAAATATTACTAAAATGTCTCTTCCCAATTCGTTAATTTTCAATGACTATTTAAGGTTTTTTATCTTTGAGAAAGTAAACCAAATTTTCAATGAGTGATACTGAAATTGATACTCACTGACGTCTTGATCGCCCATGAAGAGGTTGTTAGCAGCGAAAACAACTTTACCCAAAACCTCATATTTGTACACTAGTTTTCCATTCTTACCCTTCAGGTAAGTTTCGCCGTCTCTTTTGTTGACTGTAAACTTGAAGTCAAATTTCAAATTTAGTTTCTCTGGAAATAAAATTCATTTTTAGAACGACGGACTTAGACTCTAGCTCATCACATGTCAACAGCTGATGCATACGTAGTATGATGGACTCGAGAGATTCGAGAAACTGGTCGAGAGTGTAATATGTACGTACTTAGATATATTATGACATCGACCCATTTCTTGAGTCTATACAGTTCATCAATCGTCATGCTATGCGAACTGATCGGGTTTTAATTTTTTTTTATCTTACTCCATTTAACAAAATGCGGATATTCTACAGTGTTTAAGAGTAATTTGCTTATGGTTATCATATTAATTTACTTATGGTAACAAGATTTTAATGGCGCAATGGTTAATACTTTCGACCTATGACTGACCGGTCATCAGAAGAGTGACCAAAATATATATTGTTTCAGGCTCATCTGTGTATAGGAAGCATATTCAACTGGATTGTCAGGATCTAACAATTCATGGGGATCCCAAGTGGTGGGTAATGGTCAGTTTTCCTTAAATTGTTTATCCATAAAGACTGGGTCGTAACAGGAAAAACATTAATACCACCAAGTGGACCTAGGGTAGATCGGGGGGTATTAAAGACAGCGGATAACATCAAGATCAATGACATAATGTGCTTTTCGAAGTATAGACTCCTCTATATAGATCTTGAGATATTAAAAATGCTAACTACTGTGCTATCCAGGTCTTCTGACTCTGACTGGTTAATCTCTCATTTATAAGAATACACATCAAAAAATTGTTCTGATTATTACATTTGATCAATTTTCCATTCACAATGTTATACTGAAAAAAATATTCTTAATGAAAAATGCTTATAAAATCTATACAAAATAGATTTTATAAGCATTTTTCATGACCTTTGACCTTTCACCTGTGACATTTCGCAATCTGGGAAACTGCAGTCGCCTGGATTACGAAAGGTCATTGCTTTGAGTCCCATCTCAAATTGCCAGGGACAAAGTGCATTTTTAAAGCATTATTCTTTAAGAATATACATCAGTAAAGAATTGTGAATTCAAAAAATACATTTAGAGGAAGAACACTTATAAGGTGGAAAAAGAAGGAGCTAATATAAGGAAAACTTCAGGAATAAAGTAAGATAGCACAACCTGAAGAAGGCTTACATCAGTATGGTTGAGAAGAGCCAAGTACAAAAAACAAAACAATAAATTAGTAGTCTACAAATAAAATTCATTTTTAATAAATTTTCCCGTATGTTTTTAAAATTCTGCATTCAATTAGCACGGTGACTGTATGATCTCTGTACGTCAATCTCGGTAAGCCGTGGCTTTAATAGATTTATATCGTATTTTGCAGGTGAATTTATGATATTCAACAACTTTTGTGTTATGAAAAGGTTCACTTTATTTTTATGTAGGTCAAATGATGGAATTTTACGCATTCATTAGAAGTCTACCATTATTATTAAAAAATTATTAATTTACACTCATTTTTTAAATATTATTTAGTATGTATATAATTACTCTTGAAACAATCAAGTTATTCTTTAAAGGGGTTGTAACCTTAATATCAAATTTCGATTATCGATGCTTTAATCTACGGACAGTTGACGAAATAGACCAAAAATACTTATTAAAGATGATTTTAATAATACAGCACCAGTTATTATTTGAGTATTGAATTTAAAAGCATAGAAGGTAACTAATATATTTTTATGCTGTAATGATAGCACGTATCAGATGCTTATATTTTAAATAATCAACACTATCTGCATTTATTAAGTTTGATTTTGCAATAATCTATCATCCGATACACGAGCAAAACTTTGATTACTTCGAGTTTATTAAGCTGTTAGCCTCGGTTCTATTAGCGGTCGTTAATACTCACACAACATACTTTCTTTGTTTAAAATAAAACGTCGAACACAGCGCTGTCGCAGCGGGTGTTCAATTATATAAGAATTATCAATCTCTAAACTCACCAATTTTTATTTTAACCTTTCCATCACCACGTATCGAGTCACCTCCTAATGTCGCTTTAATAAGAGGGCTACTCGCAAAAGCCTTGTAGTTACCAGAAACAGTGATATCGCACGTAAGGTCCATTGTTGCACGACCACTGTCGACGTATGTACTGCGAAAAAATATACAAACAATCATCTTCATCATCATTGTCTATCAATACCTCTGTCGCTTGAGCCGTTACAATAATCCTATTTTGTTAATAATATAGCATCAAACACAAGGGCGACTAAAGGCGGTTGTTCACTGTCGCCGCATTCACGCCCCGGCCGTTACAACACGTAACAGATTGTACAGATTTCCCGATGGCGTACGTCCACTACATCTGCATTTATCATAAATGTTTGTACGAAAAATCAATTAACATTGAGCTTATGTTGACAGTTTTGACATGATGCTGTGAAGTAATGTACAGTAAAGTACAGCTTTATGGAAGTAATCCATATGACGACATCAGAATTTTCATTATAGTGCGGATAGTGGACGGGGTGTTATACAGAGATATGGAAAATCCGTTATGAACGTTCACCTTTAACGGCATTAGAGGTTTATTCAAATAAATCCTACTTCATAAACAATCCACGACAACGCAGTGGTCGATACTGCGTTGTCGCTGGATTGTTCTTCTTATTCTTCTACATTTCTACCGGAGATTGGGTGGCATCTCTGTTTTTATGGCAGCTATCGGAACAGGGTGTAGTGTTCCGTTCAAATCAATTCTTAAGCCAGAAATATCGATTTCTTCCAGCACTGCGTTTCCAAATTGTTCCCCAAATTGAAAGAAAAACAAGTCAAACTAACTATACCAATTGAAGCCTATTTGGTAAGACCTAACGACTGCAGATTTGGCTATGAATTAAAGCTTAAGACTCGAGATGATAATTTCCTGGTCACTCATTTCTTAAACGGTTCACATCAATCACGCTATCCGATCAATTAAATTACAGAGAGACCTAGCTGACAGACCGTGCGTATAATTCTGCAAATATTTACAAATTATTAGCATCTCAACAGTGTCTTAACTACTTGCATTTGACTATTCTTGAAAAAAAATTTCATGTTTTTGGATACTACTATTCATATTCATAAATTTGTCCTATATATTTTATTTATCTATCTATTTATGTATATAGAACATATCGATCATGTGATCGATAATAGTAAACATTGAAAATTGCGTTAATTTAAATATGGAAAGAGGATGTTTAGTTACAAAAATATGAATCAACTAAATCTACATAAAACCTTAACTGGTTTTTGATGTTCAAGGAAAAATTCTATTTATATAATTCTAAATATAGATATTTATAAAAAGATTGTTATTAATTCTTTAACAGTGACTTAGTCACGTGATAAAAGTTTATCGATGATCCTTTAGGGTTGTAAACAATATATTCATACTCATATGATGTTATATCACACTATATGTAGACGTAAACATCGTGAATTGTCACCATTTTGATTTGGGATGCAATTATAGGTACTATGTACGTTAATTATATTTACTATTAGATATCTTTTAGAATAAGCTATGTTTTTTATTTCCATTCAGTCAAAATATTTTGACTCGTTGAATAATTTACTGTTATTGTCTTGGAAAAAAAAATGCTTAATTTTCTTATCGTGTTGACAACCCTAGAAAGTGTTGTTTTCTGTTTGTTTATTTCTTGATTCAGTGATCTACAGGAAGTGAATTTTAAATGTTTTTATACAATGACTCGAAGAAAAACAACAGAATTATTTAATCATCTCAGTCGTTCGAAACAAGGTTCGAACTAGTGACCTTTTAAAGACCTGTTTTTAGTTGTCCATGTAATTAGTTGGCGATATATCGCATGAAAGGAAAGTCCTTGTATTAAATATCAATATCGAAATAGACAAAACCTACTCTTGTTTATTGATAATGACTAATTCAAGTTAAATGTAAAAAACTGAGTCGTATACCAACTTCTGATTTCAGCATGCAATAATGTAGACAACATCACATACATTGTTATATGGCTCAGGTGGTTAACGCGTCCGGTTTGCAATCAGAAAGTTGCTGACTGATCGTTTTGTGCTCCTCCGTGTTTAAGAAGACACATTAAGTCATTGGCCCCGGCTGCATGTGCAATCTTTATTACCTACCAATCCACAATGGACCATTTTCGCTATTCAATTTGATTCCATCCAGGCCTGTGCCCCAGCAGAAGGGATATTATTACGCTGATAATAATAACATACATTGGTATGATTCTAGAATAAGTAATTAAAGCCATCGTATAATAAAATATCTTAAACAACGAAGGCAAAAAATACCAGGACACGAAATAAAGTAGCAAAGCTCATTTTCTGTATTGATGCGATCGGCAATTGAAACCGGGAGCTCAGAGATGGCGACATCCACTGGATGTTACTCATCTTGAGGTGTACGTATGTGTTGAATATTTTCCAATGCATGATCATTTGGAACTCCTTCGAGGGCCCAATTAATTAGGGAAAGTGCCTGATTGATTAGTGAAAATGCCCAATTAACAAGTGAAAATGTCAAATTGATTAGTGAAAATGCCCTGCAGTTAACTTTGGGTGAATCTCTCAAATTATAATAGTAACTTACCTAAAGTCATTGAGAACACAACTACTCAATCCTTTAATTTTCCCCTCAACCAGAGTCAAATTTGCTATATCTAATACTGGCAAATTCACATCTTTCAGTGTTATTGGGTCAAAAATAGGTATATTATACTCGGGGATTCCCGTTTTGCTCCTCTCTTTTAAGACAGTTTGAAATAACTTTTTCTGACATTGTGTATCCTTTAATCCACATTGGGTTAATGTGTCAACTAAAAATTAAACAAGAACATTAATTTACTAAATATATTTAATTTCAACGTAACTGACGAAAATATTATAAAAAAAATAAACAAAATTGTTTATTCATTGCAATTTTTAAAGGGTAAACATAGTTGTTAACACAGGTTGGGTCCATCTTTGTGGACATACAAATATATCTGTTTTAGGAGAAGGATGATAATTGAAATTATTAAAAATATTTTCCATTTTCGTAATTTACTAGAGTTCATAATTATATTTTAGGCGTAAATTCCCGTAAGCGAAAGATTTTTACAATCGGTCCAGTACTTCCGAAGTCTATTCAAGAAATTTAAGTATAACGCTAACGTATGACAAACTTTCAATGTTTTATTATTATAACAATGAAATATATATTATAAATAAAAAAAAACTCACCAAACGCTGCATCACCTAAGAATAGAACGGCGCTTAAAACTACAAAGGTATTTCTATTTATCATTTTCACTAACAGTTTTAATATTTGCTATACACCAAACAGTTAATAACTACTCACTAAGAACAAATGAGCAAATGTGGAGACTATGCCGAAGGTTTTCCGAATATATTACCTTTGCCACGTCGAAATAACATAATAAAAAAAATATCTAAACTTGTTTAGACCGTACAAAGATTTTATTTAAACTCATCATGACGTCATTTGTAACAAGTGTCATACATTTCAACTTCTACATAAAAACTTTTGCGGTTTTGCGGAAAAAAAAGCTCATTATTTTTTTCTATTGTTCTCTGCTCTTTTTTACTTAATGATTAAAAAAGTAATACATATTCGTAGAAAGAACAAAATAATGATAGAAAATTATCGAGGTCGTCAATTGTAGAGGAAAATTTAAAACTGTAGCACTTTTATATATATATTTTTTTTATTTTATTGTATCTGTATTTTCTTATTAAGATTCTTATTTGAAATCTATTAAGAACTGAGACTTATCTACAAAATAACGACTATGACGACGATGTCGTTTTAACACGTAATAACATCTAAAATTATTTAATTTATTTCACCACCTTGAGATCGTTGTGAATCTCAATATCTTCTCCAAAGTGAATTTAAATAAACAAAAGAATAATAACAAGAGTAAATTACGTATAAACATAATTTATTAGAGACGTTATGTCCCATTTATGCCCCCAGGGTAGATTAAGATGTAGTGTAAGCCCATTAATAATAAAAAAGGTGTCTTTGGAAAAATATTTATTATTTAAAGTTATTATCATGTATCACGTAAGTCACTTTTTTTATATATGAGCATGATCTAGACTACTTTCCTTTGTACACATTTTTACGCAATTAGTGATGGCATCGAGAACTGAGTATAAGGATGACCACAAATTTTTGTGTTATTATTGAAGAATATAAAACACGTATTTTTTTATTATTATTAACGAAATAAATAAATGACGGCGATAAATTGAGTTGAAATGTCGCATGATGCCACAACTTTTTACATTATATTAGTTGTGACGTAGCAAGCCCCCACTTTTCATATTTAATACTTTTAAAATTGAAGGAAATAAAATATATATCTAATATTTTTATATTCGCTGATGGATTAAATAGAATTTCTTTTTTTACTCATTCGTTATTAGAATTATGTAGATATTATAATTTATAACGAATAAATTATTGCCCGCTAGTTAAAATAAAATAACATACACCTCCATCTAAATATTTATGGTTCAAATTACAAGGACAGAATTAAAATCGAGGTCTGATAAAAATAAATATAATACACCTAACGGAAAATACCTTCGGATAATAAATAACTTAGTAACGTAACAAGTTTACAAGCTGGCTGTTTTACTGCGATTTCGCCGGCGTAAATTATAGTTCACTAGTTTTGGCACCGGCTTCACCCGCGTGGTCCCTAGGGAAATGTTTAGTGGGATAAAAAGTATCATATTATCTAAGTCAGCTAATACCCTATTTGTATTCAAAATTTTACAAAAATCGGGACATACAAAAAAACTTTCATATTTATAACATCAATAGGATGTAACCCGTGTATTACGCTCCTGTAAGTTAAAGAATTTTTTAAATCAATCCATCTTCGGAGTCTATTCAATCGAGAAGCAAAAAAATGAAGAACTTTAATTTATTCTATTGATTTTCTAAAAAAAAATCTATATTAACTCGCCTACTAATCGAACTAACTTCCTCAGAATTGGAGGCACCTTGAATAACAATGGTATAAATTAAGTCAATAAAAAGACCTCCAAAAATAATAAGACAGTAATATTCTATATTAAGAATAAATGGAACAACATTTAAATGGTTTCATCACGTTTAATATAGGTAGTTGTTTCATTTATGGATAGTGTGCGTGGAACTATAAGAAATCAATTTCTATTATTTGTTTCTAATACACTACTTAAAAAGTTTCCTCACTAAATAAGGTACCAGAGATTCATCTAAATGATGGACTTCCTACTCCAGCACCACGAAAGGCTTTCACGCCCTTTCCGTGTTAATTAATGTTTCTAACCCTAACCACTACTAGGAAAGTTGTCTTTTTCTTATTTAACTTCGTGTAGTCTTAAGATCTTGTTTCGTACATCTTTTTTAGGGCTCCGCATACAAAGGGTTAAAACAGGACCCCGTTTCTAACACAACGCTGTCCGTTCGTCTTTCTGTACGTCTGTCAGCATGAACCGTGACAGCTAGACAGTTGAAATTATCACAGTTGATGTATTTCTGTTGCCGTTATAACAACAAATACCTAAAATAGAATCAAATAAATATTCAGACGAGGCTCTTATGCGTTTTAGTTTTAAAAGTGTTTTTTTTTTTTTGCGTTTTTCATACCAATAGCTCGGAACCTTTCATGCGCGAGTTCGACTCATACTATGCCGGGTTTCTAAATAGAAGTATAAATAAACAGTAATTTTTATAGCAGGTAGACCTGCATAAATAGATTTGATTATAGTAATAGTAAGCATACATATATAAACTCTTCATAATTTGATAGGTATTTATATCAGGTTTCGCTTTTAGTCCAAGACCTTTTAAGTATTTAAACATAATCAACCAAACAACAAACTCCTTTTAAGAATAAAGGTTAGTTAGAACGATCCAATTAATATAAGTATTCACGTGAAATATATTTTTTAAATTCTATATTATATTAGTATCGACTAGTAATATTCGAGATTCAATATAATTAACTTTGCATATTCATGAGACTCTATTAAAAGCCTTAAGTTTTGGGTACTACATAATGGGCATTTGATCAGCGAGGGACTAACAGAATTGCCAAAGTGTCAACATCAATGTAACCCCATGTCGTAGTGACTTGACAATATAATTGACATACGATTGATTTTCTCAGGAGCTCGGAGACATTTTATAGCCTTAGTACACATCATAAGGTTTAGATTTACAACATTTAGTAACGAATGCTCCTTTTAAGTAAGGTGTTAATTCTAAAATAATTTGTTCTACATTGTAGATTACTTTTTTGAATGATAAAGATTTTTTAATAACAAACATTTTCTTTTATAACATGTTTTTAAGAAAATGATTAATTTATAAATGAACTATAAACATGTTTGTTTCGTTTTAACCGGGGAATTCACTACACGAACGGGCCCACAGGACCTCGCTTCTTTAGGTTCGTGTAATAACGGCGATATTACATATTATAATAAAGTAGCAATTCTGCAGACTTGCCCTCATATCCATATAGTGAATTCCGTTCTCTAAGCAACAGTAATTAGATAAATATCAAAATATCATTGTGAATGCAATATTGATAAAATATAATAGCATTAAGTGGCAATAGAAGGACAATTTTTATAGTAATTTACGATCATTCTTCCAAACTATTCCGTTACACCAAATAAGCTAGCTATAAGTAAATGTAGGCATTTTATTTGGGGCGCATTTGGGGCGACACGCTTATCTCGGCGGCATTCGTTCACTCAACTTCACCCTTATGCTAGGAATCCCTCAAATCCGACTCCGATTTCGCATAAAGGTCGTCTCGAGAGAGTATAAGAAAAGGGTGAATTCAGTACTCACTGAATAGTATTGTAAATAATCCAAAAAAGCTATGTCATAGACATGTTTCTTATTGCTATGTGACTCGATTACATATTATACTCGACTAGATATAATCTGATAATTTCGTCAGACTTTGCAGGCTCAATGCAGATTGGTGTTATCATATACATATTAATAACTTAAAGTACTTTCCGAAGAACTCGCAACAGTAAATTTTTGGTCTTTGCAAAATTTGTTTAACCTCCGAATTGCAGACTGAAATCGCTAACCGTTTCGACATGAAACTCCTGAAGTAGGTATACAATTAATTGCTTTCGAAAAATCACATCAGATGTGTATTTTTTTTTATTCTGAATGCTTCTATAGAAAAGTAATGTAATTTAAAAAAAAAACCGTTTCAGATGCTCAAGATCGTATTTCGTTAATTTTTCAAGCTCGTAGTCCACCAATTGAGATACCAGATGCCAAAATATTGTCCAACTCGACAGTGAAGAAAAGAAAACGTCAAATTTAGACCCGTTGACTTGTTGGTTGATCTGGTTTAAATCTGATACCAAAGTTAGTTCACGTTATTTTTCTCAAAAATTCTTTGATTGTGTGATTCAGCCCCAGACTACCTGACTGGGATCCTAGGACTAATTAATTTTTGAGCATTTTCAGATTAACATCATTAGTAAATGCGAAATTGGTCAAATAAAACAATCGTATTTTACAGAAAATAATCTAAAATATAATCTTGACAAATAAAAACCTACTTTGGTGACAGCACCAAAGTAGGTTTTTATTTGTCAAGATTATTTTTTTCAGTTTGATGTAAGCCTTCTTCGATCCTCTCCACTTTCTTCAAATTTGGACTGTTAGAATCCAAACTTTTTAATGATGATTTATTCAATTAAAATAAACCTCTATTTTTACACTCATCGTATTTTTACAACAGCATGTCAAGTTATGCTCTAGTTGGTTTTAAACTTTAATATATTATTTAGGGTAGAGTACAATATTACATGGGTATACATTGTAAGTCAACTTGGGTACTGTAACGTCCGTGCAGATTACTATAGGTAAGTTTACTCTTTGGACGATTTGTGGTCAATGCTGGCCGCTAATATTTTGAATTATTACTTTTTCCGCGTTTGAATTAGCGTTGTCCCATCTTGCTGATAGATAATAATCTAACTTTTATTACGCCTCCATCATAGGATAAGTAGTTTTAAAATTATAATATTTGTTTAATTTTAATCTTTAATCCCATAACAGAGTCCCTATCCCATAGGTATCATATTTTTTATATTCACGAAAGGTATTATTTACAGCAACTTTGTTTTATGGCTGTCAGCCAAAACCTCCATAAATGATTTTAACGACACGGAAACAAAAATCACTGTACCAAAAAATATACGTGCAGATATTTATGATTTATATTTCATAGTGGAAGACTGTAAAAACGTTTAATAAGTCGAAACTGTAGTATTGATAAAGAAATACAAATCTGAATCATCGCAGACTTTGTTGTA